CCCCAAAACCCCAAAACCCCAAAACCCCAAAACCCCAAAACCCCTTCACAATATTTCAGGATTGACCTAGTCTTGTTTATTAGTATGCTCCAGAAAATGGAAAGCTGGTTTGTTGAACCATTGAGAACCCGAGAATACCGAAGTGAAATGTGCGCAATGGCCTCCTCCATTTGTAGTCAGTAGAGCTATATGCTCATTTCCATCGTCTCTTTTGTGCTCTGAAGGGAATGAAGAATAAGGAATACACTCTTTTAAACTGACTGGGTCATCAAGAGCTCAAATAAATAATGTAGGGGTCTCAATTGACTCTATGAAGTTTGAAGAAGCAGCTTTTAAGTAATAGTTATCAGCACTTCCATACCCAAACAGCTTTGCTGTCAAATTATGATCAATTTCTTTTAAAGTTTTAGATTTTTCTAGAACTTCAGTCATTGAGACCCCATGGGTCTTCTTTAGTTCATCTTCAAGGTAAATATGCTCTCGAATCTTTCTTTTAACGTTATTTCACAAGATCCTTGTGAAAAAGCCAAAATAAACTGAATCCAAATCAATCTTAAACATCTGGAGAGGAGAGTTGATTCAGACAGCACTGGTAATCTTGCTTTCAGATTTTTCCTCACCTAAATACTTTCCTATAATGTTTGCTCCAAGGGAGAACCCGATTCAATACAATTTTTCATCTGGGTATTTAGAGTGAATATAATCAACTATTTCTCTCAGATCCCAAGAACTGGCTGCACAGTATAACTTTGGAGAACTAATCTTCAAACCTGGAACACCTCTGTGATTGCATACAACAGCTATATAACCATTCTTGAGAGCTTCTTTGGCAGCTGAGATAACATAGATGTCATTTCAATTTCCAGTGAGGCCTGGGAGAATCATTCAGATACCTTTTGTCTTGTTCTCAGGGAACTTCCAATCCAAGTAAGTCTGACCTCCATCTGAGTACTTAAACACTTCTTTATCAAACTCCAATTTCTTTGCAAATTTAGAAGCAATTGAGATATAACAGGTCTGCAAAAACCCATTACATAGTAGAAATGAAGGTTTGAATCTCATCTCCGTAATCTTGTCTAGCTTCAAGAACTTTCCAGAATGGTAAAAGCTTGGGTGCACAGAATTATGCCAGTACTTGTATCACATGTATATAAACATTAATAAGCCACAGACTTGGAAATACATATTGGAACTTAAAATTGCGTAATTATAAATCAATATCTTCGAGTTTTAAGGGGTTTTGGGGTTTTGGGGTTTTGGGG